TGTGTGTGTGTGTGTGTGTGTGTGTGTGTGTGTGTGTGTGTGTGTGTTTTAATGCCTCTGTGGAGTCTTTTACTACATCTTACTGGGTGTATGGTTGAATAAGTCATAACTGGCAGTAAGGAAAAACCCAAGTTCACTTGCAAGTGTTTGATGGGTACACACATTTTTTCTTGATGGTTTCTTACAGGTTTTATTTACTGTGTGTGTATGTAATACCTGTTTTTAATGCTACCAGTCCATATTTTATCGATCGTGTACCAGTCCATATTTTATCGATCGTCTGTCAGTCCATATTTTATCAATGATCTACCAGTCCATATTTTATTGTTCGTCTACCAGTCCATATTTTATCGATCATCTATCAGTCCATATTTTATCGATCGTCTACCAGTCCATATTTTATTGATTGTCTACCAGTCCATAGTTTATCGATCGTCTATCAGTCCATATTTTTTCGATCGTCTGCCAGTCTATACTTTATTGATCATCTGCCAGTCCATATCTTACTGATGCAGGCTGGTGTGTCTAAACTGAATGAAGCTAAAGCTCTTGTGGATGAGCTGAACAGAAAAGCTGGCGAGCAAAGTGTGTTATTAAAGACGAAGCAAGACGAAGCAGACGCCGCCCTTCAGGAGATCACGGTGTCGATGCAGGTGATGTTTCTGGGGCGCAGAGATGCAGGCGGTAGGGAGACCATTTCCACTTGATCAGTACTGGGAGAAATTACATTTCTACTTATGTGGATATAAAAAATACTTCTTGTCTGCTGAGTCACACTGATGGTATTAAACACTGAGCTTTTTGGAAAGAGTGTGGAAGTTTCCCATGTTATTTTAAAATCATAACTAGGGGCGCCTGGGTGGCTCCGTCGGTTAAGCAGCCGACTTCGGCTCAGGTCATGATCTCACGGTTCGTGAGTTCGAGCCCCGCATCGGGCTCTGTGCTGACAGCTCAGAGCCTGGAGCCTGTTTCCGATTCTGTGTCTCCCTCCCTCTCTGACCCTCCCCCGTTCATGCTCTGTCTCTCTCTGTCTCAAAAATAAATAAATGTTAAAAAAAAAAATTTAAAATCATAACTATATTTTTCTCACTTCACCATATACTAATTTATCTAAACCCTATAAACATGCAAATATGAACATTTTAGGTTGGCATAGATGTGTCTCTAAACAATTTTGTTTACCCTCTGTTGTATGTCTTTATTTTTCTTAAAATCATCTCCTCAGGCTTCAAGGGTTTTTTCCTCCTGCCTTTAATATTTTCAGGATTTAAGAAATAAGTCTTTATTCATTTCATTTATACTTTCATGATTATGTTTTGATGGTGTCACCTTTCTGCCATGGTCTTCAATGAACCTTTGTTGATGGTTGAACCTTTCAGAGGAGATTTCTTTGAAAGTCTTCTTTGCCCAGGTTGTGGGTTGTGTCTGCACGCCCTCTCAGGGTGTTCTTGTCTTGGCCTCTTTCCTGCTGACTCTGTACTGACTGCCACCAAATTCATCGTTTTTATCCTTCAGCCCTACTCCCTCATCCTGGCCTCAGACTAAAATATGCAGTATTTTAGTAAACGTGTCTTCTTAGAAGTCTCATGAGTATTATGGCTGAATGGTATTCCATTGTATATATAAACCACGTCTTTTTTATCCATTTGTCAGGTGATGGACACTAAGGCTCTCTCCATACTTTGGTTATTGTTGATAGTGCTGCTAGAAACATTGGGGTGCACGTGTCCCTTTGAGTTGGTATTTTTGTGTTCTTTGGGTAAAAACCTAGTAGCGCAATTGCTGGGACGTAGGTAGTTCTATTTTTAATTTTTGAGGCAACTCCATACTGTTTTCCAGAGTGGCCAACCAGTTTGCATTCCCACCAGCAGTGCAAGAGGGTTCCCCTTTCTCTGCATCCTTGCCAACCTCTGTAATTTTTTGTGTTATTGACATTATAGCTAATTATTCAAGACAGAACTGAAAAATTATATTGGACTTCTGTTCTCTCAATTCCTACCTTTTTTTTTTAATTTTTGTTTATTTTTGAGAGAGAGAGACACACACACAGTGCATATGGAGGAGGGGCAGAGAGAGAGAGAGGGAGACACAGAATCCAAAACAGGCTCCAGGCTCTGAGCTGTCAGCACAGAGCCCGACATGGGGGTCCAACTCAGAAACTGCGAGATCATGACCTGAGCTGAAATCAGACACTTAACCAATAAGCCACCCAGGTGCCCCTCAATCCTTACCTTTAATGAATCACTGAATTGTTCGTTTACCTCCTTGATTAGGTCTCATGTATGTTTGTCCATCTTCATGTTGGTGACTATTAACCTTACTGCAAGTCTAATATCTCTTTTAATTAACTTCAGTAGTCACTAGAGTAATGTATAAATTTCAATAAAAGTAAATGGCACAAAAACTCACAAAATAATAAAGTTGGAGGACTTATGATTTAAAGATTTACTACTGAGCTGTGGTGGTCAAGGAAGCATGACATGGGTGTAATGACCCCTACAGGGTCACTCGAGCATTATGGAGATCAGAAGTAGATGAATGTGTACATAGTTGATCGATTTTATACAAAATACCAGTTAAATAGTGAAAAGTTTGGTTTTTTTTTAATGATATTTGGATATCCAGGTAGAGAACAAAAAACAGATCTTTACCTTAAACTTGTATAAAAATTAACTCAGTATGGATCGTAGATCTAATGTATACCAAAAATTATAAAACTTTTGAAGAAAACAGGAGAAAATGTTGAAGATATTGGGTGAGACAAAGATTTTTTAGATGTGATACTAAAATAGAACAAGAAAAAATTTGATAAATTGGACTTATCAAAATTAAAAATGTAGGCTCTGTGAAAAAAGCTCTGAAGAAAATTAAGAGGCAAATCACAGACGGGGAGAAATTATTTACAAAACATAAATCTGATAAATCACTTGTATCCAAAATAGACGGAAACCATGATGTACACAATAATAATAAAACAAAACATCTAATTTACAGATGGCCAAAATGTTTGAAGGTACCCTGTGTGAAAGAAGAAGGGCCAGTAAACGCATGAAGGGATGCTCAACATCATTGGTCAGGAAGAAAATGTAATCCCTTTGTTTTTAGACATTGAAAAGTGTTACTCCATTTCCTTCCAACTTCTCTTGTGACTGAAGTTCTCAAAGTTAGGTTAAGTTCTGATCCTTTTGCGGTGATCTTTTTCTTTTTTCCTCTCTTGAGGTTTTTTTAGATTTGTGTTTTCATTGTTCTCAAAGTGACATGATCTGCCTTTATTTAGGTTTATTTTCATTCACTGTGTTGGACACAGTGTGGATTCTTTGCACCAGTACGCTTCTGTCCTCCAGTTCTGGGAAGTGTCCTTAAATTATTCTGATGGTGCTTCTGTACCTCCCTGTCTCTGTCTTCACTTTCTAGAATCCCCATTACTTGCACTTTGGACTTCCTGCCTTGTTCGCTAATTTTCTTCTTTTCTCACCTTTTTTCTTCTCTTTTTGCTCACTTCCTTTAAAATTCTTCATTTTCTAATTTTCCTATTAGTTTTTCATTTCTGTGACAATATTATTAGATTTTTTTTTTCAGCCTCTGAATGTCTGCTTGTGGCAGTGTCCTTTCTTGTTGGTTTGTCATTGTTGAGTTGCCTCCACATAGCTCTCATAGGATACTTGATGCGACCTTATGTTTCCCAAATATCTTTTCTTACTGCTTTTCTCCTACTTGACTCTTTTATACTTACAAAAAAGCTTTCTTCTTCTCTCTCTCTCTCTCTCTCTCTTTTTTTTTTTTTTTTTTTTTTTTTTTACTCTTTATTTATTTTGGGAGAGAGAGGGAGAGAGAATCCCAAGCAGGTTCCACTCTGATAGTGTGGATCCTATGCAGGACTCCAGCCCATGACCCTGGGATCATGACCTGAGGTGAAATCAAGAACCAGACACGTAAATGACTGAGCCATGCAGGCACCCCAAAAGAAGATTTATTCTTTTTTTTTTTATATGAAATTTATTGTCAAATTGATTTCCATATAGAACACAGTGCTCATCCTAACAGGTGCCCTCCTCAATGCCCATCACCCACTTTCCCCTCCCACCCACCCCCATTAATCCTCAGTTTATTCTCAGTTTTTAAGAGTCTCTTATGGTTTGCCTCCTTCCCTCTCTGTAACTTTTTTTTCCTTCCCCTCCCCGATGGCCTTCTGTTAAGTTTCTCAGGATTCACATAAGAGTAAAAACATATGGTATCTGTCTTTCTCTCTATGACTTATTTCACTTAGCATAACACTCTCCAGTTCCATCCATGTTGCTACAAAAGGCCACATTTCATTCTTTCTCCTTGCTACGTGGTATTCCATTGTATATATAAACCACAACTTCTTTATCCATTCATCAGTTGATGGACATTTAGGCTCTTTCCGTAATTTGGCTGTTGTTGAAAGTGCTGCTGTAAACATTGGGGTACAAGTGCCCCTATGCATCAGCACTCCTGGATCCCTTGGGTAAATTCCTAGCAGTGCTATTGCTGGGTCATAGGGTAGATCTCTTTTTAATTTTTTGAGGAACTTCTACACTGTTTTCCAGAGCGGCTGCACCAGTTTGCATTCCCACCAACAGTGAAAGATGGTTCCTGTTTCTCCACATCCTCTCCAGCATCTGTAGTCTCCTAATTTGTTCATCTTAGGCCACTCTGACTGGCGTGAGGTGGTATCTCAGTGTGGTTTTGATTTGTATTTCGCTGATGAGGAGTGACTGTGAGCATCTTTTCATGTGCCTGTTGGCCATCTGGATGTCTTCTTTAGAGAAATGTCTATTCATGTCTTTTGCCCATTTCTTCACTGGGTTATTTGTTTTTCGGATGTGGAGTTTGGTGAGTTCTTTATAGATTTTGGATACTAGCCCTTTGTCCAATATGTCATTTGCAAATATCTTTTCCCATTCCATTGGTTGCCTTTTAGTTGATTGTTTCCTTTGCTGTGCAGAAGCTTTTTATCTTCATGAGGTCCAATAGTTCGTTTCTGCTTTTAATTCCCTTGCCTTTGGGGATGTTTCAAGTAAGAAAGCTGAGGTCAGAGAGGTTTTTTTTCCTGCTTTCTCCTCTAGGGTTTTGATGGTTTCCTGTCTCACATTCAGGTCCTTCATCCATTTTGAGTTTATTTTGGTGAATGGTGTAAGAAAGTGGTCTAGTTTCATTCTTTTGCATGTGAGAAGAATGTGTGTGAAATGGTGCTTTCCATTTCTCTCAGCACCATTTGTTAAAGAGACTGTCTTTTTTCCATTGGATGTTCTTTCCTGCTTTGTCAAAGATGAGTTGGCCATACGTTTGTGGGTCTAGTTCTGGGGCTTCTCTTCTATTCCATTGGTCTATGTGTCTGTTTTTGTGCCAATACCATGCTGTCTTGATGATGACAGCTTTGTAGTAGACGCTAGAGTCTGGGATTGTGATGCCTCCCGCTTTGGTTGTCTTCTTCAAAATTACTTTGGCTATTTGGGGTCTTTTGTGGTTCCATACAAATTTTAGGATTGCTTGTTCTAGCTCCGAGAAGAATGCTGGTGCAATTTTGATTGGGATTGCATTGAATGTGTAGATTGCTTTGTGTAGTATTGACATTTTAACAATATTTATTCTTCCAATCCATGAGCGTGGAATGTTTTTCCATTTCTTGGTATCTTCTTCAATTTCCTTCATAAGCTTTCTATAGTTTTCAGCATACAGATCTTTTACATCTGTGGTTAGGTTTATTCCTAGGTATTTTATGATTCTTGGTGCAATTCTGAATGAGATCCTTTTCTTTGTCTTTCTGTTGCTTCATTATTAGTACACAAGAGTGCAACTGATTTCTGTACATTGATTTTGTATCCTGTGACTTTGCTGAATTCATGTATCAGTTCTAGCAGACTTTTGGTGAATTCTGTCGGGTTTTCCATGTGTAATATCATGTCATCTGCCAAAACTGAAAGCTTGACTTCATCTTTGCCAATTTTGAAGCCTTTGATTTCCTTTTGTTGTCTTAGTGCTGATGCTAGAACTTCCAACACTATGTTAAACAACAGCAGTGAGAGTGGACATCCCTGTCATGTTCTTGATCTCAGGGGGAAGCTCTCAGTTTTTCCCCATTGAGCATGATATTAGTTATGGGCTTTTCATAAATGGCTTTTATGATGTTTAAGTGTGTTCCTTCTATCCTGAACTTTCTTGGGGGGTTTTATTAAGAAAGGATGCTGAATTTTGTCAAATGCTTTTTCTGCATCGATTGACAGGATCATATGGTTCTTATCTTTTGTTTTATTAATGTGATGTATCACATTGATTGATTTGCGAATATTGAACCAGCCCTGCAGGCCAGGAATGAATCCCACTTGATCATGGTGAATAATTGTTTTTATATGCTGTTGAATACGATTTGCTAGTATCTTATTGAGAATTTTTTCATCCATATTCATCAGGGTTATTGGCCTGTAGTTCTCTTTTTTTGCTGGGTCTCTGGTTTGGGAATCAAAGTAATGTTGGCTTCATAGAATGAGTCTGGGAGTTTCCCTTCCCTTTCTAGGTTTTGGAACAGCTTGAGAAGGATAGGTATTATCTCTGCTTTAAATGTCTGGTAGAATTCCCCAGGGAAGCCATCTGGTCCTGGACTCTTATTTATTGGGAGATTTTTGATCACTGATTCCATTTCTTTGCTGGTTATGGGTCTATTCAAGTTTTGTATTTCTTCCTGTTTGAGTTTTGGAAGTGTGTGGGTGCTTAGGAATTTGTCCATTTCTTCCAGGTTGTTCAGTTTGTTGGCATATAATTTTTCATAGTATTCCCTGATAATTGCTTGTATCTCTGAGGGATTGGTTGTAATAATTCCATTTTCATTCATGATTTTATCTATTTGGGTCATCTCCCTTTTCTTTTTGAGAAGCCTGGCTAGAGGTTTATCAATTTTGTTTACTTTTTCAAAAAACCAACTCTTGGTTTCGTTGATCTGCTCTCCAGTTTTTTTAGATTCTATATTGTTTATTTCTGCTCTGATCTTTATTATTTCTATTCTTCTGCTGGGTTTGGGGTGTCTTTGCTGTTCTGCTTCTATTTCCTTTAGGTGTGCTGTTAGATTTTGTGTTTGGGATTTTTCTTGTTGAGATAGGCCTGAATTGCAATGTATTCTCCTCTCAGAACTGCCTACGCTGCATCCCAAAGTGTTTGGATTGTTGTATTTTCATTTTCATTTGTTTCCATATATTTTTTAATTTCTTCTCTAACTGCCTGGTTGACCCATTCATTCTTTAGTAGGGTGTTCTTTAACCTCCATGCTTTTGGAGGTTTTTCAGACTTTTCCCTGTGGTTGATTTCAAGTTTCATGGCATTGTGGTGTGAAAGTGTGCATGGTATGATCTCAATTCTCTTATACTTATGAAGGGCTGTTTTGTGACCCAGTATGTGATCTATCTTGGAGAATGTTCCATGTGCACTCGAGAAGAAAGTATATTCTGTTGCTTTAGTGTGCAGATTCTAAATATATCTGTCAAGTCCATCTGATCCAATGTATCATTCAGGGCCCTTGCTTCTTTATTGGTCTTGTGTCTAGATGATCTATCGTTGTCATTGGAGTATTAAAGTCCCCTGCAATTACCACGTTCTTATCAATAAGGTTGCTTATGTTTGTGATTAATTGTTTTATATATTTTTGGGGCTCCCATATTCGGCGCATAGACATTTATAATTGTTAGCTCTTCCTGATGGATAGACCTCGTAATTATTATACAATGCCCTTCTTCATCTCTTGTTCCAGGCTTTAATTTAAAGTCCAGTTTGTCTGATAGAAGTAGGGCTACTCCAGCTTTCTTTTGACTTCCAGTAGCATGATAATGAAGATTTCTTCTTAAGTGTGCTCATCCTCACTGGCGATCTGAGGGTTGGATGGACTGTGGGGGTGTGAGCTTCATGGGAGGGTTGTCTGGAAGGTCCCGAGTGGTCCAGTTAAGACCATCTTTGATGCATGTGGTCATTCTCAAAGGCAGTAACATTTCCAGAAACATGACGGTTATGTACACATTCAATGTTTCCAAGATAATGTTATTGAGTACCTAACCTGGTGAGTAATGTAATAGGAAAATCAAATGTAATTTTCATATTATAAAACTTTAGCATGTTTTTTTCCTCAGGGTATTTTGGAACCAAATTAATACGGATTTTTTTGTAAAGCAGCCAGCTATATTTATTGTTTAAAAAAAATCTGTCAAATACTTACCTTTAAAGAGTAATTTGGAATATGAAAAAAGTGAAAGCTCTGTAGAGGATAGTAGTGTTGGTAACTGTGTGTTTACTAGAGGGGCATAGTCAGCCCTGTGTGCCTGTGTGGTCTCACACTAGTGGGCTGGAGTCGGGTACGCTGGCCGCCATGCCCTTTCTCTGTCTGGGCCCTTCCTAGAAGAGGTTTTCCTAAGACTGTGGCTAATTGTATTGCCTAGCAGAGACTAGGAAGAATCACTGTGCATCTCTTAAGTTGGTAATTGTTCTTAATTATGAATAGCTGACATTTTCTGTTATAAAAAGGTGTAGTGTGGACAGACAGCTTAAGTATCCAACTGTGTAATTTCCAAAGCTCGCAGCTCTATGTTTGTGACCTAAGAAAAACAAGAAATAAATGCTATAAAATCTCAGAATAGGGAGAACCTCCAGTTGGTAGAGTAGGCTAATAAAACAAGAAACACATGAGCCGGGCCTTTGGCGGCTCTTATGTGGAGGTGGAGAAAACGACTTCCTCCTGAGCAGCGAGGGGGAGATGTGCAGGTGGGAAGGCTTGTGGCCCCGGGACCGTTCCACCTGAGCTGGTGTGGAAGGTGCCTCCCGGGAAGGGCAGGGGGAAGCAAGGGTCCACTCCTCAGTGAGTCTCCGTTTGGGCCACGGATTGGAGCCACCTGACAAGTCTTTAAACAGTTCTGTGCCTCAGTTGCATCCAGACTATTTCAATATATTTGGCAGTAGAACACAGGACATTCCTTGTGATTGTAATCGAGTTGAGAACCACTGAGGCAAGCACTTGAGAAAGGTTTCTTGACGGATTTCCTCTTTGGATTTTCAGTTAGTACAGATAAACCAAATATGGACATTCACAACGATTCATAGCATTTTCATGTAGGTGGGACCCTTGATATTTGCTTTCAGGAACAAAGAGTTCATGACTTAGTGTTTTTTGAATCTGTAGTAATTTTTGTTGATTATTCGCCATCGTATTATTGTCATGATTTCAATTAATTTTTGTCTAAAAGTGTAGAAACACAAACTTGCAATATAATGTAATTAGTCCCTAAGAGTTAGTCTTTACTGTTAGAATTATAGAAGAATTTATTTTTACTTTATGAAATGAACACGATAGTACTAACTTCTCTGGGTTATTTATTGCAAGTGTTAAATGTGTATTATGATAATTTTATACATTATGCATTTCTGAGTTGATTTTTATATAAATAGCATTTATTGCTTTGCTATTCAGAAAAAACTAAAATAAAGCAGAGAAACCTCCTGATGGTACATATACAGTAAATTATATGTTTGGTTTCCCAGGCATTTTAGAAACTCTTATGTCAATTAACATGACAAAAGTATTTAATAGAAGATGTTATTTTAAAGTAACTTATTTTGATACCATGCTTTTAAATATTGAGTGCATTAAAATTAATTGGAATGCCTTATAAATACTTCTATAGGATGCTAGTGAGCAAAAGACAGAACTTGAAAGACTGAAGCACAAGATAGCAGAAGAAGTTGTTAAAATTGAAGAAAGAAAAAACAAAATTGATGATGAGTTAAAAGAAGTACAGGTAAGCTACAGAGGAAATTTCGTGGGGCACCTGGGTGGCTCCGTCAGTTGAGTGTCTGATTTTGGCTCAGGTCATGATCTCACGGTTCGTGGGTTCGAGCCCCATGTCCGACTCTGTGCTGTCAGTGCAGAGCCTGCTTGGGATTCTTACTCTCAGACCCTCCTCCTTCCCTGCTCTTGCTCACGCTCTCTCTGTCAAAAATAAAAATAAACATGAAAAAAAAAACCCCCGAAAAATGGTAAGAGCCATTTTTGACTACCAGTGGTGTCTAGGAGCTCAAACATTACTTGTTGACTTATTTTCTAACAATATTACCAAGTGTGGCTTTCAATCAGGGTATTATTTGTAGAAGAGAAGCAAGATGGAGGGTCCACCAGGTAAAGTCAGTGAATGAACCAATAGTCATCAAAAACCATCTTTGTTTTTCACAAGCCGTGTTGTCTGAAGAAAAATGCATTGTAGGGAAATCAAGTCAAAGTCTTAGGCTCTTTTTTTTTTTTTTTGGTTCCTCACTAGGTTAGCCAGCTTGTCTTAGAATATAAGGAGCCTCTTGAAAATGGCAAATTGTCCATTTGCAGTAATGTGGTTGGAGCTAGAGTGGATTATGCTAAGTGAAATAAGAGAAAGACAAATACCATATGACTTCCCAGTATGAGGAATGTAGGGAACAAAACAGATCAAAGTATGGGAGGGGATGGGGCACCTGGGTGGCTCATTCGGTTGAGCATCCGACTTTGGCTCAGGTCATGATCTCGTGGTCTGTAAGTTCGAGCCCCGCGTCGGGCTCTATGCTGACAAACTCAGAGCCTGGAGCCTGTTTCAGATTCTGTGTCTCCCTCTCTCTCTGCCCCTCCCCCGCTCATGCTCCGTCTCTCTCTCTCTCTCTCTCTGTCAAAAATAAACATTAAAAAAAAAAAAGTATGGAGGGGAGGGGGACAGACAGGAAAACAAACCATAGGAGCCTCTTAATGATGGAGAACAAACAGGGTTGATGGAGTGGGTGGGAGATGGGAACTAAGGAGGACACCTGGTGATGGGCACTGAGTATCGTGTGTAAGTGATGAATCACTGAATTCTACTTCTTAAACCTATAGTGTACTGCATGTTAACTAAAATTTAAATAAAAGTTTGAAGGAAAAAATAGCAAATTGTCTCAAAACAAATTGAATTTTCTAAATTAGACTATTGCAGTTATGGTGGTAAGAACTTAAAGATTTTGTATTTTGCGTGTTTTAAAGCATTTTGATATTTGAAGAAAAAGGATATTAGTAACTAGAGTTATTAAAAAAATTTTTAACATTTATTTTTGAGAGAGAGACAGAGTGCAAGTGGGGGAGGGGTGGCAGAGAGAGAGGGAGACCCAGAATCCGAAGCAGGCTCTAAGCTCTGAACTGTCAGCACAGAGCTGGATTCTAAGCTCAAACTCAGGAACCCTGAGATCATGACCTCAGCCCAAGTCAGATGCGTAACCGGCTGAGCCACCCAGGCGCCCCCTACAGTTATTTTTAATAAAATGACAGATATTCAATAATTTGTAAAGAGGTAATGATTTTTATATACATATTTTTGAAAGTAATAAAGCCCTTTGTCTTTTTAGCCTCTAGTCAATGAAGCTAAACTAGCAGTTGGAAACATCAAGCCAGAATCTCTTTCAGAAATTCGCTCACTGCGCATGCCACCAGACATCATCAGAGACATTCTTGAGGGTGTTTTAAGGCTGATGGGGATCTTTGATACATCTTGGGTGAGCATGAAAAGGTAAGTTTTTGAATTTGTGAAGAATGTTATTATTTCCCCTATGAAGTACACATTCACATTTTTATTTATGTATGTATCTATTATTTTAAAGATTTTATTTGTAAGGAATCTCTACACCCAGTGTAGGGCTTGAACCCACAACCCCACGATCCAGAGTCACATGCTGTACTGACTGAGCCAGCCAGGCACCCATCCTTCGTATTTTTATTTTTTTATTTTTTTTAATGTTTATTTATTATTGAGAGAGAGCAGGAGAATGTGAGGGGCAGAGAGAGAGGGAGACACAGAATCCGAAGGAGGTTCCAGGCTCTGAGCTGTCAGCACAGAGCCCAACACGGGGCTTGAACTCACAAACCGTGAGACCATGATCTGAGCCAAAGTTGGACGCTTAACCGACTGAACCACCCAGGCGCCCCATCCTTCGTATTTTTAAATATTTCTTTTGTTGCTTTTCACACTGTTTCATTAATTACCTAGTATACCCTTTGCCATCATATTTCAAGATACTTTATAAAACCATACAACATCTATGTTTTTACCCATAATAAGGGATTATTTTAAGTGTCCAAAGAGGAGAAAGGAATGCCTGGAAATCTTGAAGAACATCTCAGTAAATACACTTCTTTGGTCCTCACACATTACAGAGCATTGTGTTTACTGTGATTCACTGACGAAGAAAATATAGCCACTATTGTTAGGGTCAGAGGACAGAAACAGGAGGCGGGAGCCCCGGAACAGTACAGATGTGAGCTGGAAGAGAAGAGGCTGTGTGATAACTAAATATGCAGCCAGATAGCTCCGGAGCTTACGTTGCAGCAGCATGATGGGCTTCGTTCCGATGCGTGGTCCGCGGTAGCATGGAGGTTGACAGTAGAGTCCTTTCCTGTCTAGAGATGGGAAGGGGATGTGGTCGAGGGCACAGCTGAAAATACCTTTCTTAGAAAAGAGTCAGGAACTTTTCTGACATCTCCTAGAACGTGCACGTACCTGGCGGTTCTCAGAAAGGGATGTGGGTAAAATGAAAGGACTGTGACCCCTTCATTTCACTGCTCCAAGTTGTTCACAGAACCCAGGAAAGGCTGCGGTGGATCTTCCTGGAGCTCGTCCTCGTCGTCTGTAGTAACGACAGATGCTGCATTAGAAGCTGGGATACTTTAGTACCCTGTTGTTTGATAACTAACAGATTGAACGTATTGTATGTACCATTTTGTGACATTGGTATGTTCATCAGAAATAGCAAATGTTATTTAGCTTCACTTTAAGTAATATGCTGTAATTTTAGTTTCCTTGCGAAAAGAGGTGTGAGAGACGACATAGCAACCTTTGACGCACGAAATATTCCAAAGGAGATAAGACACAGTGTTGAAGAACTTCTTTATAAAAATAAAGGATCTTTTGATTCAAAGGTAATTGTTAACAGTTATGCCGCCAATTCCTTTTCCATACTGTATAATATTCTGCTTGTTAAAATGTGATAACTTTAAGTTATTGATTATTTATATTGCCTGGAAACCAAAAGTTAAAAAAAAATAAGCTGTAGATGTTACGTGTCAGAAGCATTTACCAATGGGTGGACCGGAATCCAGGTTGGGTCTGGGGTGCACATTTATTGTCGTAAGTGGTTTTTGAATCTTTGTGCTGTAAATTCTCAGTCTGTCATTTCTTAACCTCCAGCTTGCCTGGTCTGTTTTTCCTTCTTCCTGTGTATTTGTTAGATAAGACCAGATATCTCTGTTAGGATTCTTGTGTCTCTTTTCAGTGAATAGGTTCAGTTACATGATTCTGGTATTTTTTTGAGATCTCTTATTCAAAATGCCATGTGCATTGTCTCTGGCACTAATAGCAATGGTTTCCGAATTGCTTTTTCTAATTAAGTTGTGTCCCATGTACAGAGGAGGAAGAATTGATGCTTGAACATCATTGTGGACAGACATAATAATTTATAATAATTTATAATAAGGAATGTGGCTAATGGAACACTTTTGTCACTAAAATATCATTATATTAAAGATTTATGTGGTTCAAAATCACTAACTCTGAAGCAAAAATTCTAGATTACCTTAATGAAATTAACACTTTATTGTTATTTTAGCTATAAGCCTAACACTTTATTTTGGGAGATAAATTATTAAATAAAGGCCTACATAAGACAGACTAGAATTAGCTTTGCTTTTATTTGAAATTGAGTCTGGGTGCTGGATAACTCGTGATGGGTTTTTCAGAACGCGAAGCGAGCCAGTACTGCGGCGGCTCCTTTGGCCGCGTGGGTTAAAGCGAACATCCAGTATTCCCACGTCTTGGAACGGATCCAGCCTTTGGAAACTGAACAGGCAGCATTAGAATCGTAAGTGAAATATAAAATAGAAATGTCTGACCTTTATTTTCATCATTTTAATGGCTGAGTTAATTATTCAGATATATTTATGTTTCATTTCTTGTTTACATCTAAAAAGGCAGCTGACAACATTAAAACATATAACATGGGTCAATTATATAAAATTAAATACTAAACAGGGCAGAAGAAAACAATTAAAAGCAGATGGAGGGTAGGACCCACTCTCTTTTTCCCTTGTCCATTGTGTATTGTTGGGAGAGGTTCTTTCACAGAGAGCTTGGGTTTGGGGAAGGAGTAATATTAACATACAGGAAGTAGGTTTTGGAAATTTAGGGCTTTTGAATTTCTTTTCTTCTTTTAAGTTTTAAGAGATGTGTCATAAGTATTTTTCAAAGCATAGTCTGTCTGAGTAGGGGGGCAATTTAACTATTTACTTTGGGGCTTAAAATTTTAATTGGCTATTGTTCCTAAGTCAGCGTTTTGTTTGTTGATTTAAATTTATTTTTTTAATTTATATCCAAGTTAGTTAAAATATAGTACAACAATGATTTCAGGTGTAGATTCCTTAATGCCCCTTACCCATTTAGCCCTTCCCCCCTCCCACAGCCCCTCCAGTAACCCTCAGTTTGTTCTTCATATTTAAGAGTCTCTTAGGTTTTGTCCCCCTCCCTGTTTTTATGTTATTTTTGCTTCCCTTCCCTTGTGTTCATCTGTTCTGTGTCTTAAAGTCCTCATATGAGTGAAGTCCTACGATATTTGTCTTTCTCTAATTTTGCTTGCATCAGTACCCTCCAGTTCCATCCATGTAGTTGCAAATGGCAAGATTTCATTCTTTTTGATTGCCGAGTAATACTCCATTGTATGTATATGTGTGTGTGTGTATATGTGTATGTATATATATATATACATATATATATATATTTGTACACACCATATATATATATACACCATATATATATACACACCATGTGTGTGTGTGTGTGTGTGTATGTGTATATACACACACACTATATACACACATACACACACACACACACACACACGTACATATACCACATCTTCTTTATCCTTTCCTCCACAGATGGACGTTTGGGCTCTTTCCATACTTTGGTTATTGTCAATAGTGCTGCTATAATCATGGGGGTGCATGTGCCCCTTCGAAATAGCACACCTGTATCCCATGGATAAATGCCTACTAGTGCAATTGCTGGGTCGTAGGGTAGTTCTATTTTTCATTTCTTGAGGAACCTCCATACTATTTTCCAGAGTGGCTGCACCAGCTTGTATTCCCATGTTATGTTCTTGACTGATGAGTTGTTTTTTTTTTTGTTTTGTTTTGTTTTGTTTTGTTTTGTTTTTAAATTTTTTTTTCAACGTTTATTTTTGGGACAGAGAGAGACAGAGCATGAGCGGGGGAGGGGCAGAGAGAGAGGGAGACACAGAATCGGAAACAGGCTCCAGGCTCTGAGCCATCAGCCCAGAGCCTGACGCGGGGCTCGAACTCCCGGACCGCGAGATCGTGACCTGGCTGAAGTCGGACGCTTAACCGACTGCGCCACCCAGGCGCCCCTTGACTGATGAGTTTTTGACATCATCTATTCTTATTCTGGGCAAAGAGAATTTTAGCAGTTTCAACATCTTAGTTTTCTCAGTATAATTATATTACATTTTTGTGTTAGTTTGTCACATATTTTTGTTTAATAAATGTTAAATATTTGTTATTTTGTGTATGTGAATATTTTTCACAGCTGAGACATATATTTTATGTGTATATTTCCTTTCTTGTACATCTTTTATTATTCTTAATAATTTCCTCATTTTTTCAATTGATTGGGGGTTTTTTTGTTTAATATCACATATTTATCCACAATCTTTTTATCAGATGCTAAAGCATATTTGGGATCTATGTGTTGTATGTATTTTTTCTTAGTATTATCCCTTCTAGAGCCTTTGTCCCCCTGTCCCAACATGGACCAGTTCTTCCCCCAGGCTGCTGCTCCCATCTGTGGGGACCTCTCTTCACTGTGATTCTGGCTGTTTCTCTGAATCTCTTTTCTGATGTGTTGTCTTATTAGGGGTCCTTGTCTTTCTTAGTTCCGTCCTTCATTTTTCTAGGATACATCCTGCACTTTAGAAAGGGTGTATTGGATGAAAACTGTTTTGAGATCCTGCATGTCTAAAATTATCTGTGTTACGCTGTTCTGTCTGGTCAGTAATTGGACTGGGTTTATAGTACTGGGCAAGAAATGGTTTAGTCTCACAATTTTGAAGGCCTTATTCTATTGTAGTAGTTCTCAGAGTGTGATCCCTGAGCTAGCAGTGTCCGTGTCACCTGGACACTTGTTAAAAGTGCACATTTTTGAGCTCTATCCAGACTTTGCTGAATCAGATACGCTGGGGGTGCTGGGGTGTGACACCTTACAGTCTGTGTTTGATTTGTGTGAAGCACGGATGCGCAGCAGAGCGTAGCGGTGTGCACTGGTCATAACAGGACAACCTCTCAGATACTGTGGGAATTTTTTTTTTCAGTATATGAAATTTATTGTCAAATTGGTTTCCATACAACACCCAGTGCTCATCCCAAAAGGTGCCCTCCTCAATACCCATCTCCCACCCCCCATCAACCCTCAGTTTGTTCTCAGTTTTCAAGAGTCACTTATGCTTTGACTCTCTCTACTGTGGGAATTTTTGAGGGGAGAAGGTAAGTCATGTCCCTAGAAGAGTCTTCACACTTTCTGCCTAGATGGGAGTGGAAGGGAGTGAGTGGGGATTATAAGTTTGCCTTTCTGGGATGTATTAAGAGGATAGTCCCTTCTCGGTGGGCGAGGGAATCTGAGGTTGATGTATTTATTATATCGACTAGTAGAAAATTCTCTATATTTAGCTCTATTGTCTTCTAAGTACCTGTTGTCCACAATTCCTGAACATTTGGAATTCTCCTTTTTGACTTTTCTTCCTGCGGCTACTCAACTTTTAGCTTTTTGCATTCCGTTATGTCAGTTACCACCTTTCAAAATTATTGAAATTATTCCACTGCAGTACTTTGCTCTTCTGTTCTCTTTATCTGTGTGCATGTATATCTTCTTTTTATTCCCTTGGTTCCATTTTGGTAGGGTTTTAGAAGGGATATGAAGGTGTTACTTCTGCTGGTGTTGATATATAAAATAGAATAAGTTTTATAAAATTGAATTGTTTTAGAAATTTGAAGAAAACTGAAGACCGAAAAAGGAAGCTAGAGGAACTTCTAAATTCTGTCGGCCAGAAAGTATCAGAACTCAAAGAGAAGTAAGTTAAGTTTAAAATGTATTTTGAAAAAAAATTGCATTGTGCGTATTCGAGAACATACCTCAACTGATTTTTCAATTTTGAAAAGCTTAGTTATAATCATTATTTTCATTTCTTTTTGTGATTTTTACTCTAAAATGGGGAAGCATATGAAATAATGTAGAAGGTATTCTTCTTAAAAAAAAATGTTTTTGGTAAGAGCAAACATATTTGGGGTCTCCATTTGTGGAGTGGTCCCTGTAGACATTGCTGAGCCCGGGGGAATCCAACGAGAGGGACAGAACGTAGCAAGTTCATGCTCCGGGTTTCCATTGGTATCTGTGTATCTGTACTCTCCAGACTTAGGGCTTCAGGCTCCTTTATTTTGAATGATGCTGTAGTCCAACCTATTTGGTGATCTTCCTGAGGCTGCGCGATCACATTTAAAAACTTGTCTTCTCTTAACTTTGTGCCTTTTAGTGTTGAGAAAAATATTCCTTTATGCAGTATTGTACTTAAGTTTCAGGACCATTTATGACTATTATTGATTGTAAAACCTCTTCTGTACCTCTGGCCTCATGTGATTGCTCTTGACTGTAGGATAGAAGATACTGGTGTGGGTATCCTAACAACTGTAGGACAGTTTTCCTATAAAAATTGTGAAGATTGAAAAACTGGAGGATATCGGGGGTGCCTGGGTAGCTCAGTTGGTTAAGCATCCGACTTTGGCTCAGGCCATGATCTCGGGATTCATGAATTTGAACCCTGCATTGGGCTCTGTGCCGACAGGTCAGAGCCTGGAGCCTGCTTCGGATTCTGTGTGTCCTCTCTCTGCCCCCCCCCACCTCTCTCTCGTTTCCCAAATATAAATAAACATTAAAATATTTTTTAAAAACCTGGAGGATATGTGATTAAATATTATGTATGTTGTCATTTGCTTACAGCTTTATAAGACTAAAACTTTTGTTTTTAAAAAAAAAATTTTAATGTTTATTTTTGGGAGAGAGAGAGACAGACAGACATAGCACCCCAAGATCATGACCTGAGCCGAAGTCAGATGCTTAACCAACTGAGCCCCCCAGGCACCCCAAGACTAAAACTTTTCTAAATGCATGCTTTTTTTTTTTTGTAATTTTTAAAGTTTATTTTTATATTTTTTTTGAGAGAGAGAAAGAGCAGGGGAGGGAGAGAGACAGAGAGGGAGAGACAGAATCCCAAGCAGGCTTCAAACTGTCAGCACAGAGCACGGCATGGGGACTCAAACTCACAAACCACGAGATCACGACCTGAGCCGAAATCAAGAGTTGGACACTCGACCGACTGAGCCACCCAGGCACCCCATTGCATGCTTTTTTTTTAAGTGGTGTGTTACATTTTGCTTCTCTTTTTGTGGAAGAAATACAAATTATTGTACCAAGAAAGAAATTCATCAGGTTGAAAACTATTTTTTCTCTATACAGGAAACAATGATCTCTATTTATATTTATATATATTAACTTACAGAGAAGAAAAACAAAAAGAAGCCTCAAACCTATAAATCCAGTGTTTTCAATATTTCTGAATTTTTTTGTGTTAGAGTTATACGAAAGAAACTTCACTTTTTTCCAGATACTGAGAACTGTAGGGAAAATGATTATTCCTTTCAGTTTCATATGTTCAGCCTTAGTGCTTCATATTCAACCGATTGTCAAATATTTATTGAGTAGTTAGCATGTGGTAGCGATGTTTTGATTCCATTTGTTAGTCACTTGTACAGGGGTCAGACGTTGCCCTAGGCACTTTACATACTTACTATTTTTAGGACTCAGAGGTGGGTATTCTTTCATTGTGCAGATTAGGAAGGTTTGTCTGTGTGGAACAGTCTAAATGACAAAGCTAGCCTTAGATTGTTGCTTTTTTCTAACTCTGTAAAGTACCTGTTCTTAATCACTATGTCATACTATCAATATTTTGGAAGGATTGTTTTCAAAACCTTCAGAATTAGCTTTTAATTTTAAGTGAAACAGAAAGGAATTTTCCATTTTTAGAGTTATTATCAAGAATGAATTCATGCTGGTTAATAATCGTTTACTTGAACCCTAAGATTTAACTGACTCTGGGTTGTGAGTGACAGTCTTTTCTGGGATACTTCCAAAAAAAGAGTAGTTGAAAAATGAGTATGGTCTTTCAATTTTAAATTCTAATCTGACAAAATGGAGACATTTGCCATTTTAATACAACTTCTACAGAAACGTGCAAGTTGGCTTAATTCAGCCCACATTTATGGTAAAACTGTGTCAACAGAATGAATTGTTGAGGTGAGTGAGTATGTAGTACATGTTCCCAGGGCTAGAGTGAGGCTGCACCATGGAACCGGACGAGATGGTGGAGATGTTCTGTAACCTACATTATCCAGTCTGGTAGCCACCAGCACTGCAGTGTGTGTAATTCGACCGAGGAATTGAATTTGAAGTTTTGTTTACTTTTAGTAATTTAAATTTGAAAAGCCCCATGTGGCTAGTGGCCACCATACTGGAAACCTCAGTTCTGTCTAGTCCTATGTGCAGGAGAACAAGGTATGTAGAGCACTTAGAGAGGTGATAAAATGCACTGTTGGCCAAATGGAGCTTAGACACACCCATGTATGAATTGTAGATCTTCTACTGATGATTGGTGAAATGTGAAACAATCTGTTGGGGTCTAAGTCTTCATTTTTGTAAGATGAGAATCATAATATTCATTTTGAACTGTGGTTCTGAGGATTACATGAGACATGACATGCTTTTTTTGTTGCTGTTTATGGTTTTGTTTTTTAAAATACTTATTTTGTGGGGCGCCCGGGTGGCGCAGTCGGTTAAGCGTCCGACTTCAGCCAGGTCACGATCTCGTGGTCCGTGAGTTCGAGCCCCGCATCAGGCTCTGGGCTGATGGCTCAGAGCCTGGAGCCTGTTTCCGATTCTGTGTCTCCCTCTCTCTCTGCTCCTCCCCCGTTCATGCTCTGTCTCTCTCTGTCCCAAAAATAAATAAACGTTGAAAAAAAAAATTAAAAAAAAAATACTTATTTTGAGAGAGAGAGTGCATGGGTGCTAGCGGGGGAGCAGCAGAGAGACAGGGAGAGAGAGAATCCCAAGCAGGGTCCGTGATCTCAATGCAGAGCCCTACATGGGGCTCGATCTCACAAACCATGAGATCCTGACCTGAGCCACAATCAAGAGTTGGATGCTTAACAGTGTGAGCCACCCAGGTGCCCCTTGTTTTGTTTTGTTTTGTTTATATTTGTCACAATCTGGGGCATTTTGTAAGTAGTTACATATTTGTTGAAGGACTGACTGGGTAATAATCTGGAATAGTACTGTTCTATTTGATAAAATAATAAATTCGTACAAGTATTTCTTAAGGAAAATAATTTAAAAGGACAGTTATAAACTTGGACAAACAGGCACGTAGGTAGAGAATTGGATTTTTGAAATGAGTTTTAAAATTTTATGTATATTTTTGTTAAATAGAGATTTCAAGGAGTTAGAGTGAGGGGTGGGGTAGGGATAAGAGGGGCTGAATGTATTCCAGGCACGTGGGGCACCCTGAAGAAGCAGACAGAGGACAGGGTATTTCCGGAGAATAGAATTTCTAGAGATTGACATGTGGTGTTGCTGGACTGGCCTCAAATGATGTACAACTGAAGAGACAGATAAGGTCAGTCTTCCGACAGGGCCCTGAATGTCACATGGAGAAATTGGCCCGCAAGCAGCAGGACGTCGCCACCCTGTAAGAGCCGGGCTTCAGTTCTCCCAGTTCGTGTTAATGATACTTCAAACACAAATATTGGCAGTATTATCGTTAATTAAATTCTTATATAAAAGCTCACTTTAGTATCTAAGGATAATGTAGTCAAATCTCTCTTAAACCCCTTGGCCTTTAATTAAATTTTAATGTTTTCCTAGATTTCAGAGCAGGACTTCAGAAGCCGCCAAGCTGGAAGCTGAAGTGAGCAGAGCGCAGGAAACAATTAAAGCCGCAGAAGTGCTAATTAATCAGCTTGACCGAGAGCACAAAAGATGGAACGCACAGGTTTGTCTGAGAGAGACAGAGGTCAGAAAGAGGCTTCCTTTAAAACACAGAAAAATCTGTAATGTATTTGTTAGAAAAAGAAAAAAAAGGGGCAAAATATCCCTCAACTTTCCACTAGGTTAGGATAAATGACCTAGATTTTAATGGCCATTGTGTGAGTTGATTTTTAAGCAGAATGTGTTTACGTGAGTGGGTTTTGGACATTGTGGCCTGTTCCTCTTCCGGTTGCATACGTTACGGAGGGAAAGGCAGGGGTGACGATGACTTGAGGGGAAACGTCGTAGTTCTCTCCAGAGATTACCCTGAACTTCACCTTCCAGGACAGCAAGGTCAGGATTTGACAGTGCTGGCCACTGATTTCTTCTACAAATAATCTGTTATTTTGACTTTGTTACCGTGTTGTCTCATTTTTTTTGGTTGATAGGTTCGTTTTTCTTAAACCAGTTAAATCCCTCCCTACGGGATTCCCTCCTGTGCTCACCCTGGAGTGTTTGAGTGCCTCAGCATTCCCTTCCTCAGCCCCTGTCCCTGCACCTGTTCTGGGCTTGTCTCGTCTAGTCTCAGTAATGTCCTCCATGCCATGGTGGTGACCAAAGCTGTATTTCCAGACTGCTGAGTTGTTAGGGGTTTGTTTTTTGTTTTTTTGTTTTGGTCCAGCCTTCATTTTCATTTTATTTTTAGTTATTTTCTTACTGAATTACAGTTGACTTACAATATTATATTAGTTTCAGGTGTTCAACATAGCGATTCAACATTTATGTACATTACAAAATGTCTAGTTACCATCTGTCACCACACAATTATTACAGTCTTACGGACTATGTTCCCTATGTTGTATATCACATCCCCATGACTTATTTTCTAGCTGCGAGTTTGTACCTCTTAATCTCCTTCATGTCTGGCAACCACCAGTTCTGTGTATTCACGAGTCTGTTTCTGTTTTTTTCTTTGTATGTTTGTTTGTTTATTTGTTTTTTAGATTCCACATGTAAGTGAAATCCCATGGAATTTGTTTTCTTTGAGTTATTTCACTTAGCATAATACTCTTAGGCCCCACCCATGTTGTCACAAATGGGAAGAGTTCATTCTTTTTTTAAGATTTTTTCCATTCTTTTTTTATGGCTGCATAATACTCTCTTGTGTGTGCATTTGTGTGTATCTTCTTTATTCATTCTCTTTATTTATAGTAAGTTTTTAATTTTAATTTCAGTGTGGTTAACATACAATGTTATATTAGTTTCAGGAATGCAGTACAGTAATTCAGCAGTTCTGTACATCATCATTCGGTTCTTGTCATGAGGAGTGTACTCCCAGTCTCCTTCACCTATTTCCCCCATGGCCCTGTCTACCTCCTTTCTCATATGCTTTGTTTTCAATGAGTTCCCTCACTTAAAGTTACTGGTTTTTTTCAACAAGAACATGTTTTACTTGGAGTACACTTCAGAATATATGGTTATAAAAGATGCATATAAAACATTCCACCCATGAAAAATAGAATACACATTTTCTTTGAGTACATACAGAGGAATCCCCCTGGTTGAATCACATAAAAAGAGACATAAGAAATATTACAAACTTAAGAAGACTGAAATCCTACCAAGTATATTTTCCAACCACAATTGGACAAAACTGAAGATCAATAACAAAACAAAGCTGGCAAGTCTAGAGCGTAAATATTAAATATTTACGATGTAAGTATTAAATGATAACACTGTTGCACAGGCAGTGGGCCAAATAAATCAAGCGGCAAATCAAAATATGTGTCAAAGCAAAAAAACCAATATTCCAAAACCTATGAGATGCCACAAAAGCAGATGTTAAAGTGAAATTTACACTATAACTGCTTGTATTAAGAAAAAGTTCAAGTAAACAACCTTATACCACAAGGAACTAGAAAAAGAAGAAAATTAACTGAAATTTACTGGAGGAAGGAAGTAACACAGAAAAATCAGAAATAAATATAATAGTGACCTGAATAGACAATAACATATAACATTGAAAGCAATGACCAATTTTTCCAAAAGACAAAAATTGAAAACAGAATGAAACTTTAATTAGGAATCAGAAATCTCCCAGCATAGAAATGTCCAAGACCACATGGTTTCATTGGTGAATTGTACCAAACATTTGAAAAAAAATTAATGACAATCTTTATCAAAATATTACAAATAATGGAATAGAGGGAATACATTCAGTCATTTCATGAGGCCAGTGCAGGATAAAAACAATACAATATCAAAGTCGAATTTGTATGACATAAGTATTGCCAGTCTGACTTTCTTTTGACATCCATTTGTGTGATAAATATTTCTCCACATCCTTACTTTCCATCTGCAGGTGTCTTTAGGTCTAAAGTGAGTCTCTTGTAGGCAACATATAGATAGGTCTTTTTTTTTTTTTTTTTAATCCATTCTGACACCCTGTGTCTTTGATTGGAGTGTTTAGTCCATTTACATTCAGAGTAATTATTGATAGATACATGTTTATTACCATTTTGTTACTTGTCATTGTCTCTGGAGATTTTCTGTGTTCCTTTGTTGTCTCTGTCACTTTTGGTTTTTCCTTCCCACTCAAAGAGTCCCCTCTAGTATTTCTTATAGGGCTGGTATAGGTCATGACCTCCTTTAGTTTTTGTTTGTCTGGGAAACTATCTCTCCTTCTATTCTGAAAGATAGCTTTGCTGTATAGAGCATTCTTGGCTGTGGATTTTCCCCATTATGCACTTCGAATATATCATGCCACTCCCTTCTGTCTTCCCCAGTTTCTGTTGAGAAATCTCCAGCTAGCCTTATGGGTCTTCCCTTTTAACTTAAGGGCTTCTTTTGTCTTGCTGCTTTTAAGATTTTTTTTTTTTACCACTATAGTTTGCAAATTTAATTAGAATATGTTTTGGTGTTGGCCTGCTTTTGTTGATTTTTATGGGAGTTTTTACTGCCTCCTGGATCTGGGTGTCTGTTTTCTTCTCCAGATTAGGGACATTTTCTGGTATTATTTCTCGAAATAAATTTTCTGTCCCCTTCTCTCTCTCTTCTGGGACTCCTATATTATGAGTGCCATTATATTTGATGGAGTCACTGAGTTCCCTAAGTCTATTTTACTATTCCGTAATTCTTCTTTCTTTTGTTCAGCTTCATTATTTTACATTATTTCATCTTATAGGTCATTAATTCATTCCTCTGCTTCTTCCAGCCTGTGTTCATTGCATGAAGTCTATTTCCAGCCTCATTTATTGCATTCTGCATCTCTACTTCTTTTTTAATTCTCTTACCTCCATGGTAAGTGTCTCCCTAATTTCTTCTATTCTTCTCTCAAGTCCAGTGACTAACCTTAGTATTGTTGCTTTAAATTCTCCATCTGGCATGTTACTTCTATCTGTTTCTGTCAGATAGCTGACTGTAGCCTTATCTTGTTCTTTCATGTGGGATAAATTCCTCCATCTTGGTATTCTGTCTAAGTCTTTGCCTTATTCTGTGTGTCAGAAAAGTATATATCCTGCTCTTGAAGGCAATGGCCTTATGAAGAAAGGTCATGTAGTCCCCAGGGCCTGGCACTTAAGAAATTGTCTTCAGAATGTGCTGCGTGTGCTCTGGTGTTGTGTTTTGGCTGCTCTGTCCTTCAGTCCAGTCATCTGCAGATGCTCTCCTAGCCTGCTGTGGTCAGTGTTTGGTCCATGGCCTGAATGTGGAGAGTTTTAACTATGCTTGCTCTGTTCTGCTTATGAAATGAGACCTGTCACCACCTCCACCAGAACTGAAGCCCTGTAGAACACTCTGGTTTGGAGACATGGTGTGGGTGAGGGTTTCTGTTTGTCTCTGAGGAAGGGGCCCCCCACACTGAGATTGAGGCAAACTGGTGTGGGCGCAGTGCTGTTTACCGCAGGTGGCCCTCTGTCGATGCTGAGAAGCAGGGGAGGGAAGGCCACCAGCTAGCTCCTTTGTCCCCTGGGAGGGAGAGGTGTCTCCCAGAATGCTGCCTCACAGGGAAGCCCTGTGTGCCCCAGGCATTTTTCAGATCCTGTTTCCATGCTGTCCGCCTCCACGTTGTTTGCCTGCCTTCTCCCCAGGTAACTCTTACGGGCTTCATCCCAGCCAGGCCCTCTGACCTTTGAAACTACAGGCTTTAAATCCTGATGGTGGCAAGAACTCATGAAAATCTGCCCCTCTTGTTTTCCAAGCCACTGGCTTTGTGGAATCGTTCTCCTTGTGCATTCCCCTGTGTGTGCCTCTCTTTCTCTCTCTCTCTGTTGCCCTTCTCTGTGACCATGGCTCCTTCCTATCCACAGCACCTGCAGTCCATTTCTCCCCCAAACCACGTCTCCACACTTTATACTTTCTTCATTGTGGCTTCTTCTCTGCTTTTGGTTGTTGGGTTGTTCTGTTGGTCTTCAGGTCGATTTTTGAGTATTTAAGATGATTTGATAGTTATCTAGGTGTGTTTGAGGCACAAGATGAGCCTGGGTTCCTCCTACTCCACTGCCATCTTTGATCACTTCTTTATCCATTCATCTTCTTTTTTTTTTTTTTTTAAGTTTATTTATTTTTGAGAGAGGGAGAGACAGAGCACGAGCAGGGGAGGGCCAGAGAGAGGGAGGGAGAGACAATCTGAAGCAGGCCTCAAACTCTGAGCTGTCAGCACAGAGCCCATTGTGGGGCTTGAACCCATGAACTCTGAGATCATGACCTGAGCCGTGGTCAGATGCTCAACCGACTGAGCCACCCAGGTGCCCATATCCATTCATCTTCTTTATCCATCTATTGATAGACACTTAGGTTGCTTCCATATCTTGGCTACTGTATATAATGCTGCAATGAACCTAGGGATCCATTTATCTTTTAAAGTAGTGTTTTTGTTTTCTTTGGGTAAATACCAGAAGTGGGATTATTGGACCATATGGTATTTCTCTTTTTAATTTTATGAGGAATTTCCATACTGTTCTCCACAGTGGCTGCACCATATATATTCCCACCAAGAATGCAAGAGGATTCCTTTCTCTTTACATTGCCAACAGTTGTTATTACTTGCCTTTTGTTACTAACCATTCTAACAGGTGTGAGGTTAGATCTCATGTGCTTTTGATTTGCATTTCCCTGATGATGAGTGATGTTGAGCATCTTTTCATGTGTTTGTTGGCCATCTGGATATCTTTTTTTGGGAAAATGTCTCTTTAGGTCTTCTGCCCATTTTTAAATTGGATTATTAGGATTTTTTGGTATTGAGTTGTATTAATTCTTTAGGTATTTTGGATGCTAACACCTTATTGGCTATGTCATTTGCAGATATCTTCTCCCATTCAGCCTTTGTCTATTGTTGATGGTTTCTTTGCTGTGTAAAAGCAGTTTAGTTTCAAGTAGTGCCATTAGTTTATTTTTGCTTTTGTTTCCCTCACCCGAGGAAACATATCTAGCAAAATGTTGCTATGGTTGACATCCAAGAGATTACTGCCTGTTTTCTTCTAGGAGTTTTATGGTTTCATGTCTCCCGTTTAGGTCTTTAATGCATTTTATTTTGGGGTATGATGTTAGAAAGTGGTCCAGTTTTATTCTTTTGCATTTAGCTCTTCAGCTTCCCCAGCATCGTTTACTCATTGTATATTCTTGCCTCCTTTGTCATAAATTAATTTGTGATATACGTGATATACGTGTGGGTTTATTTCTGATCTCTGTGTTCTCTTCCATTGATTTGTGTGCATATTATTTTGCCAATATCATACTGTTTGATTACTATAGGTTAATGTTATACAATGAAATCTAGGATGGTGAGATCTCCAGCTTTGTTTTTCTCAAGATTGCTTTGGTGATTGAAGGTTTTTTGTGGGTCCTTAGCAATTTTAGGATTATTTGTTCTAGTTCTGTGAAAGATGCTATTAGTATTTTGATAGGGTTGCACTGAATCTGTAGATTGCTTTGGGTAGTATAGACATTTCAACGATAATAATTTTTCCAGTTAGTGAGTATGGTATATCTTCTCATTGGTGTCATCTTCAATTTCTTTCATCAGTGTCTTACAGTGTAGGGCTTTTACTTCCTTGGTTAAATTTATTTCTAGGCATTTTTTTTTTAGTATAATTGTAAATGGGATTGTTTTCCTGATTTCTCTTTTTGCTACCTCATTATTAGTATACAGAAATACAACAGGTTTCTGTACATTAATTTTGTATCCTGCAACATTATTGAATTCATTTATCAGATTTAATAATTTTTTGGTGGAGTCTTTAGGGTTTTCTATGTATAGTATGTCATCTGCAAATAGTGCAAATTTTACTTCTTCCTTACCATTTTGGATGGCTTTTATGTATTTTTTTTCTTGTCTGATTGCTGTGGCTAGAACTTCTAATACTATATTGAATCTAAGTGTTGAGAGTGGGCATCCTTGTCTTCTTCCTGGTCTTAGAGGAAAAGCTTTCAGTTTTTCACCCTTGTGTATGATGTTGGCTGTGTGTTTTCATTAACGGCTTTATTTATCTTGAGGTATGTTCTCTCTAAACCCACTTTGTTAACGTTTTTATCATGAATGGGTGTTGTATTTTGTCAAATGATTTTTCTGTGTCTATTGCGATCATCCTGTAGCTTTTACCCTTCTTGTTAATATGTGTCACATTGATTTTCAAATATTGAAGCACTCTTGCATTACTGGAGTAAATCCCATTTGAACATGGTAAGGGATTTTTTTAAGTTGTACTGTCGAATTTGTTTTGCTATTATTTTGAGAATTTTTGCATCATTGTTCATCAGAGATAGTGGCCTGTAGTTTTATTTATTTTTTTTATTTATTGTTTGTTACGTTTTTGTCTGGTTTTGGTGTCAGGGTAATGCTGGCCTCCTAGAATGAATTTGGATGCTTTCCTTCCTCTCTATTTTTTTGAAATACTTTGAGATGAGCAGTCTATTTTTGTTTGTTTTTTAATAATTTTTTATTTGAGTATAGTTGACCTACAATGTTAAGTTGGTTTCAGGTATACAGCATAGTGATTCAACAGCTCTACACATTACACTGTGTGCTCAGCACATGTGCAGCTACATTTGTCACCGTGCAGTGCAATCACAATATCATTGACTATGATTCCCTGTGTTGTGCCATTTATTCTCATGAATTATTCCTTCCCTAACTGGAATCCTGTATCTCCTGCCCCCCCATTCACCCATTCTGTCCATCCCCTAAATCATCAGTTTGTTCTCTGTGTTTATGGGGCTGAATCTGCTTTTCGTTTATTCATTTGTTTTTTAGATGCCACATATAAGTGAAATCATACAGTATTTCTGTTTCTCCTACTGACTTATTTCCCTTAGCATAATATGAGAAAAATAGGTATTAACTCTTAGATGTTCGGTAGAATTTACCTGTGAAGCCATGAAGTCCTGGACTTTTGTTTGTTGAGAATTTTTTTTTTTTAACGTCAGTTTATTTTTGAGAGCAAGAGCATGAGCAGGGGAGATGCAGAGAGAGGGACAGAGGGTCCAAAGCAGGCTCCAGCCTCTGCGATGACCAGAGAGAGCCTGATGTGGAGCTTGAACTCACACAGAGACACGAGATCATGACCTGAGCCAAAGTCTGTTGCTTAACCCACTGAGCCACCCAGGTGCCCTTGTTAGGAGTTTTTTGATTAATGATCGTGTTTAACTACGAGTAATCTCTCTGTTAGATTTCCTTGTTTGCTTGTCATGTCCACTTGCAAATATCCTTCAAATTTGTCTTCTGTCTTTAGTGCCAGTTTGTTTGTTTATTTATTTACCTAAATTCTCCTCTAACTTGTCCCCCTCCTATCTGACCCTTAAATTGGTTGGTTCCTCATTTGTCAGCTGAATAATCTTTGTAAACCCAGTCTCATTCTATCCCTGTCTGCCCTGTTTGAACACTTGCAGTGGTTCATTACCGCCCCGGGTTATAGCAGAAGCTCCATTGTGTGCATGGCCAGCCCGCTCTGCCTCTCTCTTTCCACCTTTTCTGCATTGCTACTCTGCCTGCTCACATCTATGCTGCAGTCACACTGTGCTTTTAACTAAGGCATCTCCATGCATTTTTAAAATTTTGTTTTGTACCTTTGCTCTTACTCTGTGTACTTAGTTGTAGTTTCCAAAGTGATGCTAATTCACAGTTTTTAACTGTAATTGGGATAAAATTTCTGCTTCATAGGAACCATTATGAACTTTCAATGACAAAATATGTTCATCTGTACAAATAATGGTGGTATTTCATACATTTTAAAAATTTCAGCAGGGTCTGAGATCTTGTGGCTATTTTTACATTTTCACAATTGCATGCACAACAGGGGTTATTACTTTAAACTGGCAACTGATTTTTTTTCTACAGTCAAAACTCTAATTTATGAAGCTGTCATGCTTTTCACGTTTTAGAACATGTCCATCCCCCCATCCCCGCCCCTGCTCTCTCTCTTCTTGTGCAGGTTGCAGAGATAACAGAGGAATTAGCTACTCTTCCTAAGAGAGCTCAGCTGGCTGCCGCCTTCATTACCTATCTTTCTGCTGCTCCTGAGGGTCTGAGAAAAACCTGCTTGGAAGAATGGACCAAGTCAGCTTGTCTTGAAAGTCTGTACTTAGTCATTCATGTTTTGAAATTTCAATATACTAAAACTGTATTTTTTGATAAATGAGGAAAATGTTCTATAAGCTAAAAGAAACCAAATCTACTTCAGATTTGCTCAATTCTACAATTGTTCTCTGAATTGTTTTGTTACAATGATCTTACATTCCTGAAATGACTCTCTGAAACTGAGAGCTTGGGGTATTTTTGGTAATGTATGAATGCATTTAAATATTTTAATACATTGATTTTCACAATAATTGCATATCATAAAATGGGATGTAGGAATTCCAACATTCCTTGTGACTTTTGTGGTTTTCACAAATTATTATAGTTGTGAAATGTTTATTAAATATACAAGAAATATAATTTAACTGACTTACATTCCTTTGTACTTTTTGTTTTAAACTCCTCCACTGCCACCCTTAGCTTTTGGTGCTAAAGGGGGAGGAATGGATTAAGGATAATTCTGTGACTTTTGTTTTAGTGTATTTTAAATAGTTTTGTTCCCTTTCCTTTGTCAAGTCCATGATGACTGTAGTGAGATATTAATATCTTTTCAGAATTTGATCTAAGGAGATTTCTTTGTACTGAAAGTGAGCAGTTAATTTGGAAAAGTGAAGGCCTACCATCAGATGACCTTTCCATAGAAAACGCTCTTGTTATCTTACAGGTAAGTAATCAATTTTAATTTCTCATTAGAATTATTCCTTCAGAAGCTCGCCCCAGGAAGTGCCTTGTTCAAGTTCTTAGGCTTTCAGTTTTTTTTTTCGTAACCTTAAAGTGAAGGTATTTTGGTAATGAAAATCCTCTTAGGATTCAGTTGGTGAATCTATAATTTTCGGTATAATTTACTTTTTATCTTAATAGAAAAGTATAAAGCGGTATTATCTTGATGACAAAAAGTTCTAAATTGAACTCCCTAATTGTAATAGAAATAATTTAGGGGTACCCAGTTCACCTGGTTATATAGTTTCCGCATCTACACTATGATTTTACATTTTTATTTTGTTTTGCAAAACAAAGTTATACAAAGTGAAGATAAGATAAGTTTTGGGTTATAAGAGATGGTAATATGCATTTTTTGAAAATCATTCTTTCAGATAATGTATATTTCTTTTTTTTCTTCAATATATGAAATTTATTGTCAAATTGGTTTTTAAACAACACCCAGTGCTCATCCCAAAAGGTGCCCTCCTCAATACCCATCACCCACCCCCCTCCCGCTCCCACCCCCCATCAACCCTCAGTTTGTTCTCAGTTTTTAAGAGTCTCTTATGTTTGATTCTCTCCCACTCTAACCTCTTTTTTTTTTTCCTTCCCCTCCCCCGTGGGTTTCTGTTAAGTTTCTCAGGATCCACATAAGAGTGAAAACATATGGCATCTGTCTTTCTCTGTATGGCTTATTTCACTTAGCATCACACTCTCCAGTTCCATCCACGCTGCTACAAAGGGCCATATTTCATTCTTTCTCATTGCCCTGTAGTACTCCATTGTGTATATAAACCACAATTTCTTTATCCATTCATCAGTTGATGGACATTTAGGCTCTTTCCATAATTTGGCTATTGTCGAGAGTGCTGCTCTAAACATTGGGGTACAAGTGCCCCTATGCATCAGTACTCCTGTATCCCTTGGGTAAATTCCTAGCAGTGCTACTGCTGGGTCATAGGGTAGGTCTGTTTTTAATTTTCTGAGGAACTTCCACACTGTTTTCCAGAGTGGCTGCCCCAGTTGGCATTCCCACCAACAGTGCAAGAGGGTTCCCATTTCTCCACATCCTCTCCAGCATCTATAGTCTCCTGGTTTGCTCATTTTGGCGACTCTGACTGGCGTGAGGCGATATCTGAGTGTGGTTTTGATTTGTATTTCCCTGATGAGGAGTGATGTTGAGCATCTTTTCATGTGCCTGCTGGCCATCCGGATGTCTTCTTTAGAGAAGTGTCTGTTCATGTTTTCTGCCCATTTCTTCACTGGGTTATTTGTTTTCTGGGTGTGGAGTTTGGTGAGCTCTTTATAGATTTTGGATACTAGCCCTTTGTCCAATATGTTATTTGCAAATATCTTTTCCCATTCTGTTGGTTGCCTTTTAGTTTTGTTGGTTGTTTCCTTTGCTGTGCAGAAGCTTTTTATCTTCATAAGGTCCCAGTAGTTCTTTTTTGCTTTTAATTCCCTTGCCTTTGGGGATGTGTCAAGGAAGAGATTGCTACGGCTGAGGTCAGAGAGGTCTTTTCCTGCTTTCTCCTCTAGGGTTTTGATGGTTTCCTGTCTCCCATTCCGGTCCTTTATCCATTTTGAGTTTATTTTTGTGAATGGTGTGAGAAAGTGGTCTAGTTTCAACCTTCTGCATGTTGCTGTCCAGTTCTCCCAGCACCATTTGTTAAAGAGACTGTCTTTTTTCCATTGGATGTTCTTTCCTGCTTTGTGAAAGATGAGTTGGCCATACGTTTGTGGGTCTAGTTCTGGGGTTTCTATTCTATTCCATTGGTCTATGTGTCTGTTTTTGTGCCAATACCATGCTGTCTTGATGATGACAGCTTTGTAGTAGAGGCTAAAGTCTGAGATTGTGATGCCTCCTGCTTTGGTCTTCTTCTTCAAAATTCCTTTGGCTATTCGGGGCCTTTTGTGGTTCCATATGAATTTTAGGATTGCTTGTTCTAGTTTTGAGAAGAATGCTGGTGCAGTTTTGATTGGGATTGCATTGAATGTGTAGATAGCTTTGGGTAGTATTGACATTTTGACACTATTGTTCCAATCCATGAGCGTGGAATGTTTTTCCATTTCTTTATATCTTCTTCAATTTCCTTCATAAGCTTTCTGTAGTTTTCAGCATACAGATTTTTTACATCTTTGGTTAGATTTATCCGTAGGTATTTTATGCTTTTTGTGCAATTGCGAATGGGATCAGTTTCTTTATTTGTCTTTCTGTTGCTTCATTATTAGTGTATAAGAATGCAACTGATTTCTGTACATTGATTTTGTATCCTGCAACTTTGCTGAATTCATGTATCAGTTCTAGCAGACTTTTGGTGGAGTCTGTCGGATTTCCCATTTATAATATCATGTCATCTGCAAAAAGTGAAAGCTTGACTTCATCTTTGCAAATTTTGATGCCTTTGATTTCCTTTTGTTGTCTGATTGCTGATGCTAGAACTTCCAGCACTATGTTAAACAACAGCGGTGAGAGTGGGCATCCCTGTCGTGTTCCTGATCTCAGGGAAAAAGCTCTCAGTTTTTCCCCATTGAGGATGATGTTAGCTGTGGGCTTTTATAAATGGCTTTTATGATGTTTAAGTATGTTCCTTCTATCCTGACTTTCTGAAGGGTTTTTGTTAAGAAAGGGTGCTGAATTTTGTCAAATGCCTTTTCTGCATCGATTGACAGGATCATATGGTTTTTATCTTTTCTTTTATTAATGTGATGTATCACGTTGATTGATTTGCGAATGTTGAACCACCCTGCATCCCAGGAATGAATCCTACTTGATCATGGTGAATAGTTGTTTTTATATGCTGTTGAATTCGATTTGCTATTATCTTATTGAGAATTTTTTCATCCATATTCATCAGGGATATTGGCCTGTAGTTCTCTTTTTTTTACTGGGTCTCTGTCTGGTTTAGGAATCAAAGTAATACTGGCTTCATAGAATGAGTCTGGAAGTTTTCCTTCCCTTTCTATTTCTTGGAATAGCTTGAGAAGGATAGGTACTATCTCTGCTTTAAATGTCTGGTAGAATTCCCCAGGGAAGCCATCTGGTCCCGGACTCTTATTTGTTGGGAGATTTTTGATCACTGATTCCATTTCTTTCCTGGTTATGGGTCTGTTCAAGCTTTCTATTTCCTCCTGATTGAGTTTTGGAAGCGTGTGGGTTTTTAGGAATTTGTCCATTTCCTCCAGGTTGTCCAATTTGTTGGCATATAATTTTTCATAGTATTCCCTGATAATTGCTTGTATCTCTGAGGGATTGGTTGTAATAATTCCATCTTCATTCATGATTTTATCTATTTGGGTCATCTCCCTTTTCTTTTTGAGAAGCCTGGCTAGAGGTTTATCAATTTTGTTTACTTTTTCAAAAAACCAACTCTTGGTTTCGTTGATCTGCTCTCCAGTTTTTTTAGATTCTATATTGTTTATTTCTGCTCTGATCTTTATTATTTCTCTTCTTCTGCTGGGTTTAGGCTGCCTTTGCTGTTGTGATTCTATTTCCTTTAGGTGTGCTGTTAGATTTTGTATTGGGGATTTTTCTTGTTTCTTGAGATAGGCCTGGACTGCAATGTATTTTCCTCTCAGGACTGCCTTCGCTGCATCCCAAAGCGTTTGGATTGTTGTATTTTCATTTTCATTTGTTTCCATATATTTTTTAATTTCTTCTCTAATTGCTTGGTTGACCCACTCATTCTTTAGTAGGGTGTTCTTTAACCTCCATGCTTTTGGAGGTTTTCCAGACTTTTTCCTGTGGTTGATTTCAAGCTTCATAGCATTGTGGTCTGAAAGTATGCATGGTATGATTTCAATTCTTGTATACTTATGAAGGGCTGTTTTGTGACCCAGTATGTGATCTATCTTGGAGAATGTTCCATGTGCACTCGAGAAGAAAGTATATGCTTTGGGATGCAGAGTTCTAAATCTATCTGTCAAGTCCATCTGGTCCAATGTATCATTCAGGCCCCTTGTTTCTTTATTGACCGTGTGTCTAGATGATCTATCCATTTCTGTAAGTGGAGTGTTAAAGTCCCCTGCAATTACCACAATCTTATCAATAAGGTTGCTTATGTTTATGAGTAATTGTTTTATATATTTTGGGGGCTCCCGTATTCGGCGCATAGACATTTATAATTGTTAGCTCTTCCTGATGGTTAGACCCTGTAATTATTCTATAATGCGCTTCTTCATCTCTTGTTACAGCCTTTAATTTAAAGTCTGGTTTGCCTGATAAAAGTATGGCTACTCCAGCTTTCTTTTGGCTTCCAGTAGCATGATAAATAGTTCTCCATCCCCTCACTCTCAATCTGAAGGTGTCCTCAGGTCTAAAATGAGTCTCTTGTAGACAGCAAATAGATGGGTCTTGTTTTTTTTATCCATTCTGATACCCTGTGTCTTTTGGTTGGTGCATTTAGTCCATTTATATTCAGTGTTATTATAGAAAGATATGGGTTTAGAGTCATTGTGATGTCTGTATGTGATGTCTGTATGTCTCTGGTACTTTGTCTCACAGGATCCCCCTTAGGATCTCTTGTAGGGCTGGTTTAGTGGTGACAAATTCCTTCAGTTTTTGTTTGTTTGGGAAGACCTTTATTTCTCCTTCTATTCTAAATGACAGACTTGCTGGATAAAGGATTCTCAGCTGCATATTTTTTCTGTTCATCACATGGAAGATCTCCTGCCATTCCTTTCTGGCCTGCCAAGTTTCAGAAGAGAGATCAGTCACGAGTCTTATAGGTCTCCCTTTATATGTTAGGGCACATCTATCCCTCGCTGCTTTCAGAATTTTCTCTTTATCCTTGTATTTTGCCAGTTTCACTATGGTATGTCGTGCAAAAGATCGATTCAAGTTACGTCTGAAGGGAGTTCTCTGTGCCTCTTGGATTTCAATGCCTTTTTCCTTGCCCAGTTCAGGGAAGTTCTCAGCTATTATTTCTTCAAGTACCCCTTCAGCACCTTTCCCTCTCTCTTCCTCCTCTGGGATACCAATTATGCATATATTATTTCTCTTTAGTGCATCACTTAGTTCTCTAATTTTCCCCTCATACTCCTGGATTTTTTTATCTCTCTTTTTCTCAGCTTCCTCTTTTTCCATAATTTTATCTTGTAGTTCAGCTATTCTCTCCTCTGCCTCTTCAATCTGAGCCGTGGTCGTTTCCATTTTATTTTGCAGCTCGTTTATAGCGTTTTTTAGCTCCTCCTGAGTATTCCTTAGTCCCTTGATCTCTGTAGCAATAGATTCTCTGCTGTCCTCTATACTATTTTCAAGCCCAGCGATTAATTTTATGACTATTATTCTAAATTCCCTTTCTGTTATATTGTTTAAATCCTTTTTGATCAGTTCATTAGCTCTTTTATTTCCTGGAGATTCTTTTGAGGGGAATTCTTCCGTTTGGTCATTTTGGATAGTCCCTGGAGTGGTGCGGACCTGCAGGGCACTTCCCCTGTGCTGTCTTGAGTAACTTGCGTTGGTGGGCGGGTTCGCAGTCAGACCTGATGTCTACCCCCTGCCCACCGCTGGGGCCACAGTCAGACTGGTGTGTGCCTTCTCTTCCCCTCTCCTAGGGGCGGGTTTCACTGTGGGGTGGCGTGGCCCATCTGGGCTACTTGCACACTGCCAGGCTTGTGGTGCTGGGGATCTGGCGTATTAGCTGGGGTGGATAGGCAAGGTGCACGGGGGTGGGAGGGGCAGGCTTAGCTAGATTCTCCTTCAGAGATCCACTTTGGGAGGGGCCTTGTGACCCCGGGAGAGAGTCAGACCTGCGGGAGGGATGGATCTGCAGAAGCACAGCGTTGGGTGTTTGTGGGGTGCAAGCAAGTTCCCTGGCAGGAACTGGTTCCCTTTGGAATTTTGGCTGGGGGATGGGCGAGGGAGATGGCGCTGGCGAGCACCTTTGTTCCCCACCAAACTGAGCTCTGTTGTCCGGGGCTCAACAACTCTCCCTCCCGTTGTCCTCCAGCCCTCCCGTTCTCCGAGCAGAGCTGTTAACTTATAACCTTCCAGATGTCAAGTCCTGCTTGCTGTCGGAACACTCCGTCCAGCCCCTCCACTTTTGCAAGCCAGACTCGGGGGCTCTGCTTGGCCAGCGGGCCGCCCCTCCGCCCCGGCTCCCTCCCGCCAGTCCGTGTAGCGCGCACCGCCTCTCCGCCCTTCCTACCCTCTTCCGCGGGCCTCTCGTCTGCGCTGGGCTCCGGAGACTCCATTCTGCTAGTCTTCTGGCGGTTTTCTGGGTTATTTAGGCAGGTGTAGGTGGAATCTAAGTGGTCAGCAGGACGTGGTGAGCCTAGCATCCTCCTACACCACCATCTTCCCTTGTCTCAATGTATATTTCTCAATAGTCATTGCTTAAACATTAAAGTATTACAACCTTATTAGCAGTGAATGTGAAAATCACATTCCAACTAATGTATACAAACTGATAGTTTCTTCAAATGAAGTATGAAGTTTGCCACTAACTTGGTTTACCTTTGTATTAGGTAACAGATGATTGGAAGAGACTTTTTCCCCTCAGTGATAGGTTTTTGTCTGTTTTTTCTATTGCAATAGCATCCTCTCTAACACCAGTTTTCTCTTTCCTCTCTGCCCTGTTCTCTGCCCACACACTGTTTCCTTATTCTGTAACTCCATAGCTCCAAAGGTAGCATGAACATGAAATGCTCCTTTTTAGGTAACATACTGTAGTATTACAAGATTTGTTTCATGGGCCCAGTATTCCTGGATTATTTTGTTTGGTTAGACCTATTAATCAGCTGACTTATTTTGGCTCATTACGTGTCCGCCTTCCCAGGGGAGAGGGTGCTGACTACAGATTAAATGGTTGTGACTTTCTCAGAATTTGATTTGGCTTGTTCTCTATTTTTAAAACATTTTCTCGGGCGCCTGGGTGGCGCAGTCGGTTAAGCGTCCGACTTCAGCCAGGTCATGATCTTGCGGTCCGTGAGTTCGAGCCCCGCGTCAGGCTCTGGGCCGATGGCTCAGAGCCTGGAGCCTGTTTCCGATTCTGTGTCTCCCTCTCTCTCTGCCCCTCCCCTGTTCATGCTCTGTCTCTCTCTGTCCCAAAAATAAATAAACATTGGAAAAAAAAATTAAAAAAAAAAAATTTTCTCTCGTTATATTTACAAATGTGGCACTGTAAATGTGTAGGTAAATAAATTCATTACATTGTCTAACAAGTATGTGCTTTTTATTCTATTCGTTGTTCCTTCTCCAAAGTTTTCTAATGACCTCTTCCTTTGTCAGCAATCCAAGAAGACAGTCTTTTGCAGATATAAAAAACACACAATTTAAGTATTATTCTTTTTTTATTCCGTGAGAAGTAGGGGATGAGCATTTAGAAAAAAAGTATTTGTCACAGTAATTGTTTTTTCCTGATGCTAGTAATTGAAAATACTTACTTTTGGATTCTGAATTATCTTTTATGATGAATCTAGGGAAAATTGTGAAATTAATTTTAATAATAAGCTTAGGTTTACTTTGTATTTAACATTTCCATGTTTCTTGTAGATAGATACAATTATATGAAAAAACAAAACCATTTGGAAAAATTTGCTAGGGCAGTTAGTTATTTTGTTGGGATGCACTACTACAGTCAACTTTCTGTGTCAGTTGTAAAGTATCCTAGATTTAGAATAAGCTCTTGCATTTAAGGCTGTGAGTGGATAGCACGTGTCTGTGAAATCTTCTCATGTGATATAAGATTGCATAGTTAGAAGATCATGTAAGATGTTCTAAGACCTTCGAGTTTGATCTGAACTGCTTTCTAGCAGCTTGCCCTGACTTCACCTGCTCCACCATAGAATCTTGTGTGCTCTTTATTATAGAATTTTTAGGTTGTGTTTCTTTCTGGGATGTGAAGTCATGAAGGGTATGGGTATATTTATATCTTACTAATTTCTGCATCCCTCGTATCGTCTTAACATAGTAGTTATTCCCCACGTGGTAGTTGAAGGAATGGATGAATGAATGACAGCTAAACATTTTGGGATCTATTTCACTTTCTTATGTATAGAATTTACATTTAATTATGGATCACAGACCTAAAATATACCTTAGGGATTTTGTCTAAATCTCTCTGGAGGAATATAAATAAGATTAATTCAAACCTGTAAGTACTCTTTGAAGTTCTAAAGCTTATTTTTGGTCTAAAGACATGATTTTTTGAAATATTATCTTTTTTTTTTTTTTTTAACTGCATCAGATCATTGGTTTGAAATCATGGGTAAGAACTTTTTTTTAATTTAAAATAATTGTTTTTGTGGTTGGGCAAGATCTCATAGACTTGTGACGCGTTGGCTATGGAATACATAAAATCAGATCTAAAACCAAGTGTAGTATGTAAGAGATGCTTATGGGGCTGTTTTCTAACCACCTCATTTGCCAGGAATAGCACATTTATAAGATGGAGCTGGGTGCCGATCACACAGCAGTGGGCCACCTTGGGAGATCGAGATGCGGTGAGAGTAGTTCATTCTCAGTGCAGGCAGAACCAGGCTGTGTGGTTTAGAGGGACTTTTAAAACAATAGCAAAGCTGTTTTAAAGTCAGTCAGCTCTTTATTATCACCATTTCCTGGCACTTTTGAAAAAGTTTGGTAATGAATGCTGTTCGCCTAGGACAGATAGTCCCTACCCTCTGCCTTCTTGATAAGTCCCCAAAAGAACCTGTGACTTGTTAAGGGACATACCTCAGTTTGAAGTCTTCATTTCACTTGGATTTCTGTTTGTTTTCTTATCCCGACAGCACACAACTGCATTACCTTTTTCAAATATATGTGAACATTTAAGATAAATTAGGCCAGTTGTTATTCAAATCTGATTTACTAGGTAACAATGATTATTACCTCTTAAATTTACCAAAGCTATTAATTTACGTATTTACATTTAAATTAATCCTATCTATATAATTATCTTCCTCTCACCTGCCTAGTGGTATTGTGTGTTCAATGTATTTTCCCTAGTTTCCAGCTTTCTGTTTGGTTCAGGGTATTCTGTAATGAATTTAGTTTTTAGTTCATTAGATCTTAATCTATAAGATACATAATTTTTTCTTCTAGGATGCTCTGTCTATATAGTATTAACTATAAACTGCTTTATAAGAATTAATGTCTGAAACATAACCAATGATATTGCTAATTATTTCAGCAGTACTTTTATGATTAGTTCATACTTCTCTTTTAAGGTCTTTATGGTTTATTTAACCAAAGAATATATAAAGTTTGCAAATAATTTGTGTATTTTAAAAGCCACAAAGAGGGGCACCTGGGTGGCGCAGTCGGTTAAGCGTCCGACTTCAGCCAGGTCACGATCTCGCGGTCCGTGAGTTCGAGCCCCGCGTCGGGCTCTGGGCTGATGGCTCAGAGCCTGGAGCCTGTTTCCGATTCTGTGTCGCTCTGTCTCTCTCTGTCCCAAAAAAATAAATAAAAAACGTTGAAAAAAAAAAATTTTAAAAGCCACAAAGAGAGGTGCAGACGGCATCAGGTGGGGACTAGAGGTCTTGCTTGCTGTATCGTTAACACACATTTCGTTACTGTGTAGTAAATAGGACTCTTCTCCATTTACTGTGGTTGCATTTAATTTTCTAATATTCCTGATAGCTATAAATTTATTAACGTAGCCTCTGTGTGCAGCTAAAACTGGCATCTTTATTTCCTCCTTATGGTTGTATATTTATGTTCTCCAAAGCCTGAAAGAAAAACCCCCTCAGTAATTGATGCATAATTTTTAGGCAATTTTTTTCCACTTAATGAAAGCTTATACTTTTTTTCTTTTTTTGAAACTAGAGTCGAGTATGCCCATTCCTTATAGACCCTTCTTCTCGAGCTACAGAGTGGTTGAAGACACATTTGAAAGACTCAAGATTGGAAGTTATTAACCAGCAGGTGTGTAGTACTTATAATTGAGATGCTGACTAGGGATAGCATCTTACGGTAACAGAATTCTGGGTCCGTATTCACAAAACATAGGCTTACTGCTGTAACTTACCTGGCTTGGGACCTGGGGAAACAAAGATAATGATTTTAGCTTTGGTTTTCTCATTTGTAAAAACGGGAGGAGAATATTTGCTTGATTCCTCACGTGTGCTGAGCATTAATGTAAGACCTGGGAATTTACTGGTGAGTGACACATTCACCATCCCTGTAGCTGAAGAGACTATTAAATAAGAATTCACACTAAATTACAACTAAAGACATCAGTATAGGATCCCACAGAAATGAAAGTCCCTAACTCCACTTGGAGAAAGTCTCCTGGACTTCTAGCATTCATGTGGTTTCTCTCAATGCCTCTTACTATCTCCTGCTCCTCACCCTCACCAACAAGCATCTCCACTGTGTCCAAGATTTGACATGCTGCTCAGTGAAATGTAATCATAGTCTTTTGGGGGGAGTGACTTCTCACTGTCATATTTATCTTGCTGAGGAAATTATCTGGGGTCAGATTTTATTTTGTTTTGTTTTGTTTGAAGAAGGCCTAGTGTATGATTAATTTTCTTTTAAAAATGTTTTAAACATTTTAAAAAAGATGTTAATTTTTGAGAGACAGCAAGTGGAGGAGGGGCAGAGAGAGAGAGAGAGAGAGAGAGAGAGAGAGAGAGACAGAAACAGAGACAGAGAATCCTAGGCAGGCTCCATGCTATCAACATAGAGCCTGAAGTAGGGCTCAAACTCATGAACTGTGAGATCATGACCTGAGCTGAAATCAAGAGTCAGATGCTTAACCAACTGAGCCACCCAGGTGCCCCATGATTTTCATAGATATTCTTCAGGTGCTTGACCAATTCTCTCTTTAAAACGTATTTCATTTTTAAAATGGAGGTATTTACCTGATTTGTGTGTATTAAGTATGTATATATATATGTGTATATATATAAAATACTATCTATATACGATATATATGTATATATATAATACTATCTATATACAGTATGTATATATATATATATATGTATATATATAATGCCATATATAAAATGTTTTATGGACAGCTGGGAGGCTCATTTGGTTTAAACATCCAATCCTTGATTTCAGCTCAGCTCATGGTCTCACAGTTTGTGGGATCAAACCCCACATTGGGCTCTGCTTTGACAACATGGAACCTGTTCTGGGTATCTCTCTCCTTTTCTCCCTGCCCCTCCCCACCCACACTGTCTCTCTCTTTCTCAAAATAAACAAGTAAACATTTAAAAATTACTTTAATGCCACTTGGGTTTACAGGAGGAGACTTTAATAATTATGATTCCAAATATTTAATTTTTGTAACCATAGTTGGAGGTTTAAAGCTCTTTTGCTAGCTAGAAAGCCTTAAAATTCTTGCATGATTATAGATTTTTGTCCAGAGGTTGTTTTCACAAGAAAAGTTCACTAGAAGTCATCATTTGCCTTTCCTCTTCCATTCAGTGTTTGATTTTGAACATAAGCAAAAAAAAATAAAAATAAAAAAATAATTGTGCATCAAGTTGAAATTTTAAATTCTAGTAGCAGATTGAAAAATCAAGTTTTTTTATTGTTATTGTAAAAATCTTTATTTTTTATGTGTGTTTTAAATTATGAAATCTATTTGATAATTTATTTGACTCTAATGATTCATCACCAAGTACTTAAAACTAGAAACACAATCATGAATAATTTGAATTATTAACATGCATACTAAATTTTAAAATATTCGTATTCTTCTTTTTTTTTTTTTTTTAATTTTTTTTTTTCAACTTTTTTTTTATTTATTTTTGGGACAGAGAGAGACAGAGCATGAACGGGGGAGGGGCAGAGAGAGAGGGAGACACAGAA